TCATAAATCATGGCTGCATGTGTGGAGTCTTCTGCTGAACAGTAAAACATCTCACTGGATTTATAACAATCGGAGCAATGGAAAGACTGATAGGTTCTTTTTTCTAATTAAAAGGATGAGCTTTAATATCAAAGTTGTGGTTCCGTCAAGGTGTTGTGTGAAAAAAAAGTTTTCAACTATTTAATCCAGTTAAATAAAGGAGATTGATGGATTTACTCAGTCGGCACTTTATTTACTTTGCAAAGTAAAGGAGAACAAGACATTCACATTCACAGCATGGTGGTCTGCCAAGTTCTAACCTTAGACAGAGTTGTTCCCTTGCTTTTAAGGCAGAGTCAAAACCATAGCAGACCTTGGTTAAACAGTTACCTTGAAAAAGTATGTGGTTTTGTTACGGGAAAAAGGTATGTTTTGTCTATAACCATCTTCCACTCAGACATTTTGTGGCCTTGCAAGTGAGACAAACTAGCTGAGAAAAAAACATTTTTAGAGAATACATAGCATACTTCAAATACTGAGAAGGAAAGAAGAAAAATTTAATTTTCCGACCACACAAGGGCTGCACCTATAGATTTGTAGCATTACTAAAACTTTTGGTAAATGAACATTTAGAGGGGGAAAAAAAATCATTTTAAACGGATTACTATTCACAAAATACGTCAGATATGTTCTGAAATTAAACAAGTGGAAATGGTTTTAATAGTTTATATTTGTAGTGTTTTGACTCCATTACTGCTGTAGGTAGGTTATTTCTGCAACTGCAATGTTTCAGTCAGCGTACCATTAGTCTCATATCAATCAAATCATCAATTTAGTTGACGATTATTTCAATAATCCAGATTAATTGCTTCAACCCCAATTTTCAAAAACTGCTACATAAATACAGCCTTTGTATACAGCTTTACTGACAAACAAAAAAAGGAGGCTTTAGCACAAACTCAGAGGAATCACAACCAACTTTAATGATCAATTTTTGTACAAAAAACTTAACAGCAGTTTTCAACACAACATCAATCAAGCATCTCTATCTATAGAGACCTCAGAATATCTCAAACTATAGGAGGGATACTAGGATTTAAAACTCACTGGTTCTCAATCATTGTGCGAGTTCCTCATAAAAAAAAAAGAGTAAATGAATTCCTTTACAGGTAAAACCAAACATTACAGGAAGTGACATCAGCTGGACTTCCTAGCTGAGCTTTTATCTCAGTTCTTGTCACGTTTCTTCTCATCTGATCTAAAACAGTCCGGAAAAAGTATTTTTAAGAAACCCTAAAAGAAAAACGGATTTAATTCGAACCGTCGGGGAGCGCCGCGTACCCCCAATTAGACCTCAGATCTTTTATGACTGCTTGAGTTTAACAAACTCAGCAGAGCCTCCGGTGTGAAGATAAATCCCAGCATGCAGAGGCTCAGTGAAGGTGGCCTTGGCTCTGTGGATGAGAGTCACGGTGTCAGAGATGCTGTAGAAACACAGGATACCTGCTTTGTAATCCAGGTACACTCCGATTCTGGAGGAAACCGGACCAAACACTTGAGTTTTAACGTCGTTGTGAGAAAACGTGCAGAAGCTCGTGTTACAGTGCAATGACCAAAAGGAGGCCTCCTTTGGTTTAAAGAGGAATCCAAAGCTGCTAGTGTTGTATGAAACTCCAACACTGATCCCCCCTCCTCCTTTCCACTTCACCTCCCAGTAACACCGTCCGGTCAGACTCTCTTTGCTCAGGAGCAGTTTAATCTCAGCTGCGTTTGCGATGTTAGACTGCGGCGGCACCGTCACTTTCCTGTTGCCCTGAGAAAACATGACGTTTTTCTGTGCCATGTTTGGGACAAGAGTGATGTCCTGGGAATATTTCAGTAACTCGGCTCTGGTCGGAGGTTCCGATCCTGGTTCTGTCACATCTCTTTCAGTGATTGACAGCAATATGTTTGTCCATTGGTCTCTCGTGATGCCATCTACTTTCTTTTTGAACTCTAAAACAGCTGCTGTCACATTGTCAAAGTATCTTTGGGGAGGAATATTGATGCTGGATGAGTGTGTAGCCTCACTGAGGGCTGGCAGGGAGGGGTAGTTCTGGAGAAACTGGTTAAGATCCTCAGTCTGCAAGATCTTCTCCAGCTCAGCATCTTTAAGCTTCAGCTCAGTGATCTCCTGCTCCAGCTTCTCCTGAATCTTTCTGATTCGACTCACTTCAGTTTCCTCCTTGCATCTGATGTCCCTGTCCAATTCATGCCTTCTTTTGCTGATGATATTTAACAGCACACGGTAGATCGTTTCATTGTACTTCACCGCTTTATCAGCAGAGCACCTGACGGCCTCCATCTCCTGCTGGAGCCGGTCTGCATCTTTCTCCTGGTTCTGGATTCTCTGCTGGATTTGTTGTCGTCTCTCCTGGAGCTCCTTCTGCTTCTCAGTCCTTTCTGCTGCAGCTGGGACTGTTTCATGGCCTTTATGTTGATCCATAGTGCAGAGATAACAGATACACTGCTGATCAGT